GTTTGGTGAAAAAGTGGTGCAAGTGAATCTGTTTCGAAAATAAATTATTTTTTATTATTACATCGGGAAAGATGATCTAGATATAATATATTTTTATAAATTTTCCTTTATCACTATTGTGGAAATAAGTTTATATATTATATAAATAAGTTTTAATTATTTTAATTATACTGTTAAATTTTGTAATTTTATAATATATCTCATTTGAAATTTTCAAAAATCATTTTAGCATTGTTTTTTTATCAAAATAATCGTTTTACGTGACTTCAATGAAAAAGAGAACTTAAAATTTCCTTTTGAAACAAGAATAATAATATTATTCTGCCATAATTGACTCGATGTTAACAATATATAATTTAATCCGTCCATCCGTTCAAGGATTGAATCGAGTTTTTGGTGATAATATTAAATTAAATAAAATTCATACATTGCTAAAAAGTTTTTTTTTTCTGTTTGCAAACATTTCCACATAACCATGTCAAATACCGATGGAATTAATTTAATTTAATTTTACATATAATTTTTTTTCATTTGCACCACTTTTTCTCCAAATCGATTACAACTCGAAGATTTAAAAATACATACCATACTTTTCCAGCAAGCAATGAATAATATTAGTCATTCATCTTTAACAAGAAGTATGTTAATAATATACATATAACATAAAAATTATCAATACTGAAAATTTTGCTATCTTTGAAATTCGATATTAATTAAGCAAGAAAGAGAAAAATAGGAAGAAATAATCATCGCGTTTCGCTTTTTAGCATTATAATCTTTAATGTTAAACAATGTTTAGCGTAAGTAGATTCAAGAGCACCAAATACCAACAAGATTAATCTATTAAAATATAGTACAAGAATATAAAAATCAATATATACCGTGTTTACTTCTTTTCTTCTTTTTTAAATCTAATTAGAAAATATAGCGTATCTTTAACGCGAACTCTGCAATACTCTCTATATAAAGAGAAAGAGATATATATGTTCGCTCTTTTTTTTTTTCACAATCCGTTTTCCCCTATATAAATAAATAACGCTCAACAAGAAATAAATATATCTTCGCTGAAACTATGAACAAGTTTCGGCCTGTACAAATTCTCGTGTAACACACGACATTTTCGTTAACGTTAGAACCCCGGATAAAGTCACTTTCTTCTTGATTTTCTTGTTTATCTTTCCGTTATCTTATTTTATTTATGCTTAAAAGAAGAAATTAATCGGCTTAAAACTTGAAAAAAATGTTACATAGAGTTATCCAACTTTTGAAAAATTATTAATATAAATCATTTTCCTTTTTTAAATTCTATATTTATACCACGTTGAATGTGTCATTAAAAAATAGTCAATTGATTAATAATATAAAATAATTGTATCATTAGAATGCATCGTTAAAAATCAATTGAGTATAAATGAAAAAAAATAATTAAATTAAATGAGGAAAATTATTGAATGAAACTCGAAATAATCAAGAATAAAATTTCCGAAGTTCTAATGTTAAAATTCCCCGTCTTTGCGCCAATGCTTAAATTTCGATTGGCTATCTTATCGTAAAATCCGTTAAAAGAAGCGGGAGGAATGTTACATTCTCCCGAATTCTAAAATAGACATAAAAATAACATGATCGTCGAATCTATACAAGATCTTACACAAACGGACAATTTGGACGAAATAAGGGACAACGAGGACGTATCGTTAACACGATAGTCCTTCGAACAAAGCTAAGATAATGATAAGATACAAATAATCTATATAAAAAATTCGCTCTTCGCTCTTAGCTGCAAATCCTTCCACCATAAAAAGAAAAAGAAAGAAAGAAAGAAAACGATTAAAGTACAAAAAACTCTATCGAATATAAAGAATGCTGAAAAGAGGAAGCTTCATAGCGAAGCATATATATAATAAACGAGAAAGGACGAAAAATTCGTTCAATGACCATTTTTCATTAGAAGATTGCTTTTTTTTTTCTTTTTTACTTCTTTTTGCTTCTCTTCTTTTTTTTTCCATTTCCTTTACAAGGATCTCTATAATCAGCATTGCATGATGATGAAGAAATGGTGGATGATGACGTCTAGAAGTGTCGTCGAGAAGGCGATGAACGGTCCCCCAATATAGCACATAAGGCAGTATCGATGTCGAATGAGAAAATTTTTTGCGACACACCAGCTTTTGGGAACACCATACACATTTTTCAATTTTCCTTCATTTAAGGCGCCCACCAGCAGCGTGTGCGTTTGTTCCCCGAGACCAGAACTAGCTTCCCAGAGACAACTATAAGACAGTCATGGCCTTGTTGTGGTCAGCAAGCGAAGAGCTAGCTCGTTAGGTCAACAGTTGCGATTAGTAGTGCCATTATTCACCTGTGTACCGGCCCCTGTTTCGTAATCCGCCGTCCGATGTTTCTCCTCCACTGAGTAGTGATTCTGATCCTTGAACAGATCTGCAACGAAGTTTGCCTGCGAAAAACACATCGAAACGTGTCTGATAATTAGATGAATATTGGTTCAAGAATGGTATGTGTGCATTGAGAGTGAAACGAAAAAGTTAAAATGTAATGATTGTGATTTTTTAACAATTCTTAGCAAAAAAATATTTCTTTAATAGTAATCTTTTTCGTAAATCTGTGAGAAATAGTTTCTGCAAAATTTCGTCTTTTTAAACCTTAATATCTTTTAATTTTTTAAAATTTTTAATTTTGTCACATCCAAAGGATGTATTTAATTCAAATTTTATTAAAATTATTTTCGTATAGTATGTTAAATAAGAAACATTAAATAATAAACATAAATTATTCAATAAAAATTTATAAAAGTAATGGAAATAAAATTTGTTCCTACGTTTCGTTTCACTCTAACGCGTAACGGAATGTCCTTGAAATTTTTTTAATCGATTATTTTCGCATAATTAATTTTACAATTATGCAGCGAACAAAATAAAATGCTTGAACTAATACATTTTCTTGTATATAAATAATATAAATTCCGATAATAAGATAAATGAGATTTTGAACAAGTAAATGGAAGAAATTCTAAATTGCATGATTATTTTAATTTGAAATTATAAATTTAAGAATCGCTATAATATTATTCTCAAATTTTTTTTAACAAGTTTAAATTTTAATTCTTTTTTAAGTTCTTGAAGTTAAATACTAAATAACTAATTATGTTTATATGTAATTATCAACTATAGCGTGCAAATATCTATCTGAATATATGTACAATATATGTATTAATACATTTTTTTTTTAAAGAATCGATTCAAAATAAACATAAAAATTAATATAAAAAAATTTTGAATAAAGTTTATTCATATATTATTCATTTATAAATAATTTATATAATGCATTAGATGAAGCGAAACAGAGACAAAGCGAGATTACGATATGACAGAGATAAAACTATTTTATTCTATTTTCGTTTTCATTCAACATTCAAAACTTCAATTGCTTACAATTTAATAAATAAATCTCTATCGACATTTTTTAATTTATAAACTTTTTATTTATTTATTTATTTTGATCTCCATAATTAATCTCCTAAATGTATTTTATTTTCATCAAAGTATTATAATAAAAATATAATATTTATTATATACGTAATCTTATTTCCATTAAAATACAAATCAATGTTATAATTTTACAAGTAAAAATATTTGTAAAATTTTAATAATTGCAAAATCAAACAATCTCTCTCTAAAACCCATCTTTGAAAAGACTAGTAATTCTAATATTAAGTTTCCTTACGAACTTTGTTCATTTCAAATTAATAATAAGTGATAATATTGGTAAAGCTTTATACTTACAAAAAAGATAAAACATGATAATTTTTTTAAAAAGATGGAGGTTATTTTCAAATTTTTACATATATAAAAACTATAATATTTAATTCTTTTTTTGCAAAATTCAATGGAATAATTAAATTTTAATTTTAACTATTATTTTCTTATTATTTTCATTGAATTAAATGTATCATAATTAACAGTGCAATTATATTGTTCATGAAAATATTTTCACAAACTGCAAAAATAAATTTTTGTAAATATAAATATTGAGAAAAAAAAACAGATTCACTGTGATTAGATATCAAGTAATGATATGTAAAGAACACAGATAATTTTAATGATCTTTTATATTTCTAATTTGCAAATATTTAAAATTTTTATCGGTATATCTAACAAATCTATAAAATTTGTACTGTTTAATAATAAAAATTCTTACATGATTCACATTCAATCGTCACATGTTAACACTAATTTTTAAATAAACTTGATAATCACTGAGATAATATAAGAAAAATTATATTTTTATTCTATTATCTAATCTTTAATCTAAGTTTTACTGAATGTTTTTTCTGATTTATAATATTACAATTCTTTCAATTAATTGAATTTATATTTTTATAATATTTCTTTAAATAAAATGAATATTTTAAATTATTTATTAAATATATTTACATATAATTTTGTAATGTTGAAATTAATGAGAATCTTCTAAATTTACTTAAATAAAACATAATTTATCAAATCATTATTTCAGTTATTTTCATCATTTTTAATAAAAAATTTATCCATTATGTAAATATTACGAATATGTGAATAAAGATAATATAACTGGATCTAAAAATCATTCAAAATAAATACATCGATTGCATTAAATGAAATAAAATTGAAATAATATGACGATAGCAAAAATTCGATCAATATAAAAACATATTTTTTATTTATAATAGAAAGCATATAATGGATCATTAAAAAAATGCAGAAAATAAAAATAAAAAAGATAAATAAAAATTAAAAATTAATTATTCAATTATAATAACAATTAATTTGTTACAAAGATCGTTATTAAGATAGTATCCCATTTCTGCATTTAACAACCTTATTTAAATTCGCTTCGCTGCATCGCCTAAAGCGAGTTATCACTCGTCGACCACATCACAAAACAAATCCTACAATATATACCAATCACTATTATAGTCACTATGCTTATCTGCAAATTAATGGCTTCTAATCATTTCCATCGAGTTCTAATTTGAACGTAAATAACTCAACCCGAATACCAACATTCATTTTGCATCGAAGACATATTACAGTAGAACTTCATTTATCGAAACGCAAAAGAAGAGTTCGTATAATGGAATTTATATAATAGAAATTCACCTGTTTCTCCGAATCGAAACACCATTTCTTGTTCAATTAAAAGAGATTGGTTTAACAGGATACAATTTCATTAGAATAAATAAAGTTTAAATACAGAATTTAAGTACAAATAAAAAATAAATTATGAATTGAATGTTATGATGAAAGTAAAACAAGAAATTTAATTTTCTTAGAAAATCGTTAAATTATAGAATAAGTAAACGAAAATATAATATTTTTATTTTTATACAATTTAAAATTTATCTCTAATGCAATTATGAAATATTGATCAACATAATAATAAATCGTTATTATATGTATTGAAAATGGTACATATTGGTATTATAAATAGTAATAGGTATAATTAACATTTATTATAATATGTCATTATATTCGATTCTTAAATATTTTTTCTTCTAAATAAATAATAAATTAGAAATATTTATATATTTTGAAATATATCGTTATTTTAAACAAATATAAATTTATTTAAATAAATTTTATTAAATAAATTTCTATCCTATATAAAAATTTAATTTATGAGATCAATCAATTAATTTTTTAAAAATTAATCAAGAGACATGAAATAGTTAAATTATTATACTTTTAAGATAAATTTTTATTATTTATAAATATAAATCATTGTAATAATTTTTTCAAAATATATATAGAAACCATTGTTAAAAGTAATATTTCATGAAATAATTCATTTATTTTTATTATATATTATACAAGATATACAATATATTCATTTGAAACAGCTATAAAAAATAAATTCTGAAGACCAAATAAAAATTATAAAAAATATATTTATATATATTATATATATATTATAATTATACATAACAAAAATATTGATTAAAACTTATTTATTGTAAATAATTTAAGCTTGCGTTGAAAAAAATAAAACGGAGATAGAATGAGATGTTGATTTGTATTTTCTCAGAAACATGATTACGTATTTAAGAAAGTATCAATATATAATTTCATTATATTATATTAATATTAATTATCCGTGTATAACAATGTTAATATACTCGTGAGATTAATATATTTTTGAGGTCGATTCTAAATAAAAGTCAAATAAATACAAAAGTGTATATATATATTAAAACGTCGATAAAAGCTTATTTATTTGTAAGCAATTCGTTTCGCTCTGTATCTCGCTTTATCTAATGCAAACTTGTTCTAATTCAAACTAAATTGTTCATAACTTAGTAAATAATCTTTATTCGACATTTTTGTATTTGTTTTGATGTCTAAAATCAACTCTCCATGAATATAATAAAATCTCATAAATGATTCGTCAAAAAAAAAAATAATAAATAAATAAAATTTCATTGTAGTATAAAAAATTAAAATAAGTTTTTATATTATGAAAATTTAGAAATAGATAAAATAATAATTCGTATCATATTTTAATTATTATTTCATTCATTTTTAGAAATATAATCAATTCTTTTTCAAATCTCAACTTTAAATAAATTAAAAAAAAAACATCTTCGAAAATAAAAAAAAAAAAATTTTACAACTCGTCATTAAATATTCGTCATTAAATAGGTATATATAATATCAATAAATTTTTCTTTTGATAAATAGAACATAGAAAAATTACATTTTATCGCATAGGTATTTATGTATACTTATGTATACACAGAATATCAATATTTCCGATTATTATTATTATTATTTCTTCCAACAAACGCGACCAATGGAGGTCATAAAAGTTGTAGCGACTCGATAGATCGCATATTTCATATTCACGATCGCGTGTAATTTATGATCGCACAATAGGATAGTTAAGGGGAATAATGCTCACCACGACCAGTGCTATGATGGTACCAAGGGTCGAGCCGGCGAGAACATCGCTCCAATGATGTTTGTAATCGGAAACTCGCGACAATGCGGTGAACCAGGCCATAAGTAGGCACACGAGTTGCAGGAAGTGTTTCAACAGTTTGCTACCTTTCCAAGTTATCCTTAATTGCAAGTACATCTATAAAAGAGAGAGGAAAAAAATTCTGTACGCAAATTGTGCATCGTTGAAAGAGTTATTATGCAAATGTTGCTTTCATTTTAATGCAACGAGGTGGGGCATTGTGTATTCAAAGGACGAAGAAAGGTGTGTACGATGCAAGACTGCAATTAAGGTGCAAGAAATGAGTAGGTTGGTGTGAAATATACGATTATCAGTTTTCTAATCGTTTAAATGAGCTGATAAATATTATATTTCTCTTTTTTATTATATTATTGTATTCTTTTGTTTTCAATAATATATATTAGAATGCTTGTTATAGAAAATTTTTATGATAATAATACATATGTAATATGTATATTATACAAAATGAATCACATAAAATGAATAAATTATGTATGATTGATGTATGAAAAAATGTTTCATTATACAAAATGTACAAGATGTACAAGCAGATTCTAATGTTATTAATTTTTTGATAAGTTGATATATAAAGGACATATGAAAGTCAAGTTAGTTCATTTCTTAAATTGAAATTATTTTTTAATATACTAATTGATGCAGATTGTTATATTCTATTTTTATTCAAGTTAAAATAAAAATATTTAGTTTCTTAATTTTAATAGAAGAAATAAACTCAAATTTGTTTCTTTCAATAAAGCATTTATCACATTTTATAAATATAATATATATAAAATTATAAATGTAATATTTTTGTAAAATAATTTTAATATTATTTTATTATATATTATTTAATATCAAATATATATTATTTAAATAAATTGTACATATTTATAAAGTATAATAAATATTCTATCAAAATAAACAGATTTAAATTTATACTTTTTAAAATCAACAAAGATATAGAATAGATATTAAATATACAATACTATCTGAATAATTTTGCGATAAACAGTAAAAAAAAATCGATTACAGAATCGAGAAAGCGTGCATAATCATAAATTCGAAAGAAAAGAAAAAGAGGAACTTACCGCAAGGTAGATCATCGTGTAGGCCGAGAACGACGAATGTCCTGAGGGGAATGATAATCTGAAACGATCAAAGTTATAAATTATACTCTGTCAAATAAATATCTTTCCGTCGTTCGTATAAAAACCCTTTTTTCTGCATTTTTCAACTTTTTTTTTCTTATTCTTTTTTATTCAACTTAAGACTCGTTGATATTATTAGTCAAGATTTCAATTAGTCAAGAGCTCAAATGATTGGAATTCAAGTAGTTTAACTTGAAAATCTAGTTCAAAATAGTCAAATATTATTTGAATTTAAATCTTTCGAATTCAAGTAACTTAATATGAAATGATAAATATATCTATAAAATAACGTCAAAAAGTTTCATTAGAATGTATATTATAATGAAAGAAGTTTTAAATGTATTTTTAATACATACATGTTCATATCTTTATTTTACATCATCGTTTTAATTCATTGTACGTCATAATTTTTATCTTTCATATTTCATATTACAATATATTATTTCACAAAATAATATTTTTAAAAATTTCGAAATTTCTTAATTACTAATTTATTTTTATTATAATAATAAAATGACCTCAAGTTAATGGAACAGTTAAACTAATCGAAAACGAAAAGAAACTTGGAAGAACATTTTAAATCAAATAAAAAATAAGTTCATAATTGATGAAATAGCAGTTACATAACCTTAATTTTCGCGAATTCAATTTTTTAGCATCAAAATTGATTAATCTGAATAAGATAATAATCTACTAAAGTTTATTCTTTTGCTTTAAACTTATATGATAATATATCTTTAATTTGAATCTTTTCAAATGATTGGATATTTATTTATTAAATTTTAAAAAGATAATATTATTCTTATTTCTAAATCGTAAATAAAATAATGATTTGAAATTATATAAAATAATATAAAATAATATATAAAAAATATTAACTTTGATATAATATAAAATTTATTATAGAGTAAATTTTTAACAAAGATTTTAAAAAAAATATTTAAAAATTTTTAAAATGTTTTTCAAAATATTTTTTTTTAAACAATTGAAAATTTTATAAATTAAATATTTGGAAAAATTAATATTTTTAAAATACAAAAAATTTAGAGGATGAATTTTTAAGAGATTTAAAAAACCTTATTTTTTTTCAATATAATTCTTTTAAATATAGAAAAGATGTCTCAGCAATTTCTACCTAATGAAATAGCATATTAATTTTTTGTAATATTCAAAGTTATAATATCGAACTTAATAATTTATTTAAATTGTTAATTTCTTCTTATTTTGTATAATTAGAAATATATATTTTTTCAAAATAGAATCTTGATTAATAATATGAAATTTCATGATAAAAAAGAAAAAAAAACAAAACAAAATAAAAATCAGTCAAATTTTGTCAACAAAAAAGCAGTTACTTTCTCAAAATTGTTCAAATTAACTACTATTATCAAAATTAATTATTTGATTTCTGAAAATTTAATTATCACACATTCTATCATTAAAATAAAAAATTTTTCAAAGCATAATTTTTATCTTTCATCATTTTACTATAATCTTAATCCACATGCATATATAATGTAATATATTATTTCTAAAAAAAAAATGGAAATGATTTTACATTAGCAGAAGAATTAAAATTAAAAAATAATAAACAAAAATTGATTTCTTTTTAATTATTTAATTATTTTAATTATTTATAATAATATAAAAATATTTAATAAATATTATATGTCTTGTGTACATATATTATATGTATTTCTATTTTATTTATAATTATAAATAATATTAACTTTTCGTTTATTTGATTAAAATCCAATCTACCATATATGAAATTCAATATATTAAAATTTTTTAATCATTCAGTTAATAAATCGTAGTCATACATATTTTATTTCAATAACATAACATAAGATTATTTTATTCTATTAAATACATTCAATTAAAACGTTTCTCCATTCAACTAAACACACGCGTTCCGTAATGGAAGTCTATTAATTTTATCACGATTAATTTTGGGGCGTGTTTCGTGGCGATTACAATCAACCAACATGTACCCTGAAGCGTGGATCGTAATGATTCGGCGGAAGATGAGAATACGAGTACGAACAGAAGGAAGGGGAAAAAATGAGATGAAGGATATGAGAGAAAGAAAAAAACTGGAGGCCCAGTGAGCTTCTATCTAAAAGAGTAATTGCCCATCAAAAACTGCACCTTTAATCAGACATTATCTACCCTTTCCTTGTATTTATCTTTTCCTCTCTTTTTTTATATTTTTTTCTTCTTCATCGACTCAATATTTGCCAACCAGAGTTATTCAATCGTTTTAATGAGTGTTTGTTGGCCATTTTGTTCCGGTCGATCGTTGAATAAGCAATTTACTAAGGAATATAATTTTTTTTTCCTTTTTCTCTTTATTGATTAAGAACCATTTACTTTCTGATAATTGACGTGTTTATAATAATAAGAAGATTTTATTTTTATATATATTTTTTGTTATATCTTCTATCTTAAAGAGATTTTATTTGGTACAAAAAACCAATTTCGAGTATTATAGTCTTGCAATATGTTGTGCAGTGAAAATGTAATTTTACATGTATCAATATAGTAGAAGTGATATTATCTATATAAAAGGTAAACTTGATTTTAATGACTAATTGTTATCTTTCGAGATTAATTACTATATAATAAATATTAAATTTAAAGATATTTTAGAAAGATATTGGAAAAAAGTTATTAGTAGTTTTATAATGAATTGAAAGTAGACAATTTGTCGTCGAAGATGATTCAATATAGATTAAAATATTTTATTATATCAGGGGAAAATAATGTAAAGAGTACGGATAAGATAAAATTAATCTTTAAGATAAAAATAAATCTTTTAAATAAGTTTTGGATTATTAAAAGAGACATTTTAATTAAAAAAAGAACTTGAGATGTTCCATTTTGCCCAATAAATAAAATAAAATAAGATTAAAAATGTAAATTTAAATTATAGAATCTTTTTCATTAAAACCTTGATTATTATACTTGTTCTATTCTAAGCACAAAAAATCATACATGAAAATATTGTTTGTCTTTCTTTCTTTTTTTTAAAATTAATAATTTAGAACAGAGAACAGTAACATTCTTTCTGAAATCTGGATATTTTTAATTATTTTTTTAAATTAAGTACTAAATTCAAATATATTTATTTATAATAAATAAAATGCAATTTTAGTTCATTTAATATGATTTAATTTAGCTTTTGAGTAGATTAAAAATTTATAATTGCATTATTGATTTTTGCATAGAATAAAAACTTTTCATAATCTAATGATTTTTTAATATAATAAAAATGTTAAAATTGTCTAATAATAATAAATAGAAATCTCAATCGACATTGAAGAATTTTAAAAAATTTTCTTTATTAAGAATATTTATGACTAATATTTATATTGTTTATTTGAACAAAAATTCAATTTCGATAAAAAAAATTTTAAAAAATAGAAAAATAAGAAACAACAAAATTTATTTCTTCAAATAAATTAATATTTACTTTCTTTATTTTTCCTCAACATTATTTCATTTATATCTTTACACGCTTAATTATTTCAATATAAATATTCATTAATTTTTATCTATTGACGTAAATTTTAAAAAACAAATAAAAAACAATTTTAAGAAACTCGAAGGAAAAAAAGCTTTTATTTTTTTAAACAAATAATTCGCATTTCTTCTATCATAATCTAAAAACTAAATGCTTCGAATTAATTCACACACCTAATAAATACTCGTGTTGAAGGAAGCTTGACTAAGCCTACCATTATCCAAACAAGTTCAACACTGGCAAACGAGGCCTAGTTCCCTAAACGCAATAAGATTACAGTTTCTAAAAAAGAACTACAATCTTAACGGACACCGAATTAAACGATTCGCAGAAGACGAACACACATCGCCGAATCTAAACCGAAGCGTTGGTAGAAAGGAAGATTGGGAAACGGTGGCCCATAAGTCCCCTTTGGTTGCACGAGTTGGAGGTTGGGACGTATGAATGAATTCTCTGTCAGCCTTTTATCGTCGATTCCTCAAATCTTTCTATACATAAAACTGTCCCAACTCACGCGAAGGGCGTATGACCTGCGATACGCTCGAGTACATCTACATCGTCATTCAAAACTAAAGAACTATTTGCTCAGAGGATAAATTACGATGTTTAAAAATTTATTAATCTTTTTTTATTTTAATATAAATTAATATAATTTATAATAAATTATAAATTTATTCGATTTCGTTTCGTTATTAAATTATCTCTAGTGAAATTCTTTTAAAAAATATTTAATATTTTGATTTTTTGTAATAGCATAATGTTACTGATATTTAGAGATCTATATTGATATTTTGAGAATAAATTATGAAATAAATTATGAATATTTGATTAATCTTTTATGTTAAATTCTATGCAAAAATTCTCGTATTTGAAGGATATTTTATTTAAAATAAAGATAAAAAAGAATAACTTGAAATAATAAATTATATAATTTACTTTATTTTAGACATAAACATAAAAAAAGTAATTTTAATTTTGTGTTAAGATTATCAAGATTAGATTGCCAAAAATAATTATATTATTATATTTCTTTAAAAACATGTAAAAAATCTGTATTTTTGACGTAAGTAAATTAATATTGACATCAGAAAATATATTTAGAAATGATTTAGACATTTATGCAAATATAAAATATAAAACAAATTAAAAAATTAATTGAATAATGAAATAATTTAAAGAAAATTCATTTGTATTTAAAGAAACTAACGTGTAATTATTTGAAAATCTAGTCAAATCCAATATTTCTTATAATAATTTTAAAAGATTATGTCAAAATTTATTTTACAAACGATGATTTCATGTAATGACATCATTCTTTATTAGCAAATTAGCTGATTTATATATACATTACTTCATATATGAATGTTTACGTATATTTAAATCTATGATCATATGATAAAATTGATTTGTCTGATTTTAAATTTGCGATGCAATAATAAAATCATGAACAAAATCATAATTTTTTTAAAAGT